CACTCGACTTAGGGCAACATACACTTGCCCTTTGGCAAAGTTTATCATGCAGTTATTAGAAAGATGGCAAAAGAATCATCGAACAGAATGGAAGATATTTGACTGATTAAAGTTCATTATTTGTATAAAAAAATTAAGTTTAATTTCATACTAAAAAACCAAAATTACTTTTTTCCCAACCGAATAGAAACTCGAAAAAGAGTCTCTTTATGCTCCATAAAATAATAGTATACTACATGCAAATTATTTTATTGATTGTAGGAAAAATGAACTACTAATAAGCATTTATATTTAACACAGTTGTATGTAATGACTTAAGGTAATCAATAAATGTAATATCCATTCAAATGTATTATTCTATTTCCTAATATCGTATTTAATAGCATAACTTTTTTGGTTCCAATATACAGGAAGCTAGTTTGGAGGCTACTCAGTGGTAAGTTAAATCTCAACAGAAAGAGGACCAGGAATAAACGTGGAGAAGTTATGTTCCTTCTGGTTCTCGAAATACATTGTTCTTGCGTTCAGTTCAACTGCCTGCATAGTACCAAGTGTCTATACCGGCTTGAGGGAACAAATATAACGAATCATGTGTATGAAAAATTCCATAATTTTGTTTGTGATATATCCGAGTGTTGCGCGATGCTGAGTGTAAAGAATTTAAAAATTCGACAGTAAGGGCGCGGACTGCAATATTATACAATAAAGAAGCAAGAAAGAACAGAAAAGAATGGCGTTGGGTTCCCAATTTATTGTGATATTATACTTTGATTATGGCTGTTAATAATGTTAGTAGATATAGTCAAGTACAGTAAAAAAATTGATCATGTTTTTGAACATGTCAAGCTAACAGTAGTGGATACGATTAATCATGATTTGGAGCGCATATTTGAGTGCACTCCATTATGATATGGCACACATTACGCATTATGGAAATTCGATCATATGAAAAACAACGTGGAGGCAATAAGCTCCATCCGAAATGAACTATTCAAAAACTCAAAATTCCCTCGTATCTGCAGTATAGACACCACTGACTAAACAAAATGATGGTTCTGATTATTAACTCTTACCCAGTAATATTTTTGATACCCTCAGCCCATAAACCTGTGTCATTTTCGCCCACCGTATTCATCACAAACTTAAGATAATAAAAATATTTGTAAAAAGTCATATAAACGTTCAAAAATTCATATGAACCTTATATAGAGTGTATCAGTCTAGATGCACGTTTGAGATTTGCGGTGAAACGGTGCACAATTTCGAAAATCTGATGTCACGACCATTGAATATTTTTTGATTGCGCATCAAATGGGCATATTATTATTGTTCGCTTAACTTCCGGTCGAAAGTAAAAAAAATTATCTTCGCCATTTCAACCGATATTGAAAAAAGTTAAAAGCAAAAGTTGTAGAGCAGGAAAAAATAATAGAGATAACAACAAAATTTGAATGGATTGCACACATAATAATTGAGATATTTGCGTTCGAAATTTTGTCATTTTTTGACAAATTCCTGATAATGGCAGGACGCCTGAGCTTCGTGCAGCAGCTTCACGCCGAACTCACGATTCGCAATTGTTTTGAGGTAAGCGTTCAGTCAGACGCAAACCCGTACAAGGTGGCTAAAACATATTACAATGCTATTTTTCATTACAAGTTAGAAGACGAAGTATTTCTGCTGTAGATTTGCGTGATCCTGGGTGTACATTTTGGAGTTTTCGTCTTCCTGGACGTGGATTTTCGAGTCTTCGTGTTCCTAGCCGTAGATTTCAGAGACATCGTATTCCTCGCCGTAGATTTTGGGGTCTTCGTATTCCTGGACGTAGATTTTGAAGTCTTCGTGTTCCTCACCGTAGATTTTGGAATCTTTATGTTCCTCGCCGTAAATTTTTGGAGTCTACGTGTCCCTCGCCGTAGATCTTGGAGTCTTCGTATTCCTCGCCCTAGATTTTGGGGTCTTCGTGTTCCTGGACGTAGATTTGAGAGTCTTCGTGTTCCTCGCCGTAGATTTTAGAGTCTTCGTTGTCCTGGACGTAGATTTCGAAGTCTTCGTGTTCCTCGCCGTAGATTTTGGAGTCCTCGTGTTCCTGGACGTAGACTCCAAAATCTACGGTGAGGAATATGATGTCTCTAAGATTTAAGACTAGGAACACGAAGATTCGAAAATCCACGTCCAAGAAGACGAAGACTCCAAAATCTGCATCCAGGATCACGCAAATCTACAGCAGGAATACTCCGGCTTCTCATATGTAATCAAAAATAACATTGTAATATGTTTTAGCCACCTTGTACGGGTTTGCGGCTGACTGAACGCTAACCTCAAAATAATTGCGAATCGTGAGTTCGGCATGAAGCTGCTGTACGAAGCTAAGGCGTTCCGCCAGTATCAGGAATTTGTCAAAAAATGATAAATATCTCAATTATAATGTGTGCAATCCGTCCAATTTTTTTTCATCTCTATTATTTTTTCTTGCTCTACAACTTTTGCATTAAATTTTTTTCAATATCATTTAAAATGGCGAAGATAATTCTTTTTATTTGCGACCGAAAGTTAAGCGAACAACAATAATATGCCCATTCGTTGCGCATTCAAAAAATATTCAATGGTCGTGACATCAGATTTTCGAAATTGTGCACCGTTTCACCGCAAATCTCAAACGTGCATCTGGGCTGAATACACTCTGTATGAACCTGTCCGTGAACTTCCTACTACGAGGCTATAAAAAAAAATTCGGAATTTTTTGCAATAATTTTATTGCATATGCAGGCTGTCTCAATTTAATTAACATGGATGAATATCTCTGAAATGAGGAGAGAGTGACAAATTTATTTCAAACAAAAGTTTTTCAATGTAGAAGGGGAAAAATGGTACTGATATTCGTTAATTGGTCGATCAAGCCATTTTATAGAATTTTAACTTGCCAATTATTTTTAAAATGATAATTTTTTTTTATTTAAGATGTTGGTGGCATCAAGATAATTTGAAACATGTGTATTTAAGTTCGTTTATCGCATGACGCCCTTACAAGTATTAATGGATCTGCAAATTTTCAACGCCAGATTTTTCAATTATGCATAAATGTTGGAGGCGATGTATTCGAACAGTTGTTAAATTCTTGAAAAGTAAATAGATCGCAGAAAATTATCAGAATTTTTCTATTATTACGATTTAATATAAAATTTCTTTTTTTTTCTGATTCTCTGCAAAATTCTCATTCGTTCACAGAGTGGTGGAACGTTACACTGGTAGCTCATCATGTCACTGACCCAAAATTCAAAAATCCCAAAATAAAATACTCAGGTGTAAAAGTTTCCCCAATAAATAGTTCGTCCGTCCCTACAGTGCGGATGAGAAAAACTAACGAGAAGATGTCAGTGGGAAACGAACTAACGATGAGAACTGACAGGAAAACTTTAATCGCTCTTAAATTGTTGCCTGGCGCCCGTATTGGCAGTGAGTAAACAAATGCGTTTAGCGCTTGGACCGTAAAACAATTGCTAGTCGCGTGATTCGTCTGAAGCAGCCTAACTTTTGCCTCATACGACATTAACAACTCCCACCGCGCAACTATGACCCGCGGAAATTCTTCGTTCTCATTGGTGCATTAAATGCTTCCCATTTAGAAACTATTACGAATTTCTACAAACGCTTTGCGAGAAGTTAGTCGGCGGACCTCCAGTTATCGTCCATTTTAAGGTGTAAAAATAGTTTTAGGACACCCTGTATAACAAACATACAGGGTTAGTCAGTAGAAACGCACCAGCAGAAGTTGGCCGCAAGTAGCTGACACGGCAGCGTGGCCTCTTCAAAAAATGACATGTGACTGTGACCGATTGCCATAAGCGCAAACTGACAGTTCGCATACCAATAAGGGTTTTGAAATATTTCAATAGTTAGATTACTGAAATAATTAATTAATATTGTTATGACAAAATGTAATGTCAGTTAAGATTTATTTTCACAACAGATTTTTGTCCTATAATTTTTTGCTATAAAAACATTTCAATTAATTGATTTTTAAATTAATTGCAGCATTACATTGCAGAATTGTAGTTGTGATCATTACTTGGAAATATCAAAATTGTGAATATTTTAAACTTTATATCATTTTAATTGTAATCTGTTGTGAAGATAAATCTTAACTGATAATGCATTTTGTTATTACAATATTAATTAATTATTTCAGTAACCTAACTATTGAAATATTTCAATAACCTTATTGCTATGTGAACTGTCAGTTTGCGCTTATGGGAATCGGTCACAGCCACATGTCATTTTTTGAAGAGGCCACACTGCCGTTTCGGCCACTTGCGGCCAACTTCTGCTGGTGCGTTTCTACTGACTAACCCTGCATATCGTAACATGGTGGTACAACAAGAATGACTGAAAAATAAATAAACAGGACCTATCAGGAAATTTGTCGGAAATTCCTCGTCCCCACAACGCTTCCTAGCGATCTGATTTCTATGTAATAACAAAGGCAGTTCGGACTATTCGTTATAATAAATACACAATATGCACAGACCCAATTGGATACAAATGCGAATTCTTGTCACACGAGTAGTCATCAACTGGTCATTCAAAAATATTATAAGTTATTTTTATCTAACGGAGCCGTTTTAAGCATTTAATGTATCATTTATCCACTAATCTACCCAGTTCCTAAAAATTAAACATTTTACAATAGCCTAAACTAAAGTAAAATTAGAAATAAAATACCATAGTAAGTTATAATTCATGTCTAATTTTATTGCACCTATTCCACCTATTTTAAATTCCACCATGGAACTTGCTATACAAAGTCATTTGTGTCCAACTAGATGTGTGTGCAATCCTTTGAGGAGGAGGGGGGGGGCACTGCAATTGTACCCAACTAATATAGGAGCCCTTGCCCCCATGAGTATTACATTCGACCAGCCTATTATTTCCAAGAATCGAGCACCTTAATTATAGTAAACTTTCCTATATATCTTAGTGATTGTTTTGAACGTACTTACCTAAGATGGATACTCTGGACAGGAACTCTTCGTACATTTTGCGTTTCCTAATTGTTGATCCCATGAGAATTCTACGGTAGGAATCTCTATCTATACCCCATAATTTAACAGCAGTCTTTGCCCTGACAGTAGCGGCACGTGGAGTTCCATAGATCAACGCAAGTTCGCCGAAACTTCCACCTTCTCCAATCGTTGTTACTAATTCACTGTTAACGAATATTTCAACTTCTCCTTGATCGATAACATAAAAATTATCGCCTTCGTCACCTGTGAAAAAAAAAAAATATTTGTATAGGAATAAGGGAAATAAAATAACAGAGAATTCCAATGGGCTCACATTTAAAGTATTTTTTTTCCGTCCAAGAATTGTTTACTGGTCATGTACAGATTAATGATAATTAAAATTCGAAAAAATATCTTTTAATAATAAATGATGTATCTATATAAATACTGAAAAAAGATTGTATGAACATTGAACATGTACCTTATTTGACCTTGATCCGAGTTGTAGTCATTTTTATATTTCAAATTCTCAAAACAAATTAAGTTAGTGTAACTGAGTTCATGCAACAATTTATATGCAATGCTTGATATTTCATGTACGACCGTTTTAACTATTGTAATGTTACAAATCGACCAACTTCTCAGTACTCCTGTACTGAGAGCGCACTCATTCCAAACAAACAATAAAGACAGGCGGCTATTGTCAACAATTGTCGACAGATGAAAAACATCTCCTGAAAGTCAATCCGCAGAAAATAATATAAATAAAATCCGAAAGATAATTAGCGCTTCCCGCTAATCCAACTAGCATTCTAATTAATTAAATAATACATTTCAATTGAATTTAGATATTCATAAAGTACATCGACAATGAGCAGTAAGAAAGTAAGCGTGATTTAAATCCAAAAGAACAATGCACAGTAAACTCGTTATAAAGTGTTTGAGTTCGATTTATTCCCTCTCGGATAGAGCATAGTAATTACATGAAATCATTGTTAAGAATTTAGTCGGAGGTTCCGGCATATTAGCGATCGCTATTCCGCCGAGCCCATTATGTAAAGAAACATTTTTAAACTTCTGAGGAGAGCACTGCAATTTGCCTCAGAAGCTTTAGTTGACGCCATATTGATTTCGATCTATTATACTCGCCGTAAACTCATAAGGAGCGTACGAAATTGTGATATCGATAAACATTACATAATCTATAACTACTATCTCATACTGTTTTATGAGTCATTCCCGTTTGGCCTCTTGATAAGAGTGTTAAAGTTACCAACGAATTGTTATCTTAAAAGTAAACGATGTTGTCCGACAAATGGCGTCTTATTTTTGTTCTCGAGACAGAGTCCCCGAATCACGGGTCAAGTCAGTCAGAGCTGTCGAGAGCGTACGAGAATTGGCGGTTTTTCAGTTAATGAATAGTTCAGTAACTATTGTGCAGTTAAGTGAAAAGAGTATCTTCTGACGTCTCTAGAGGCCATTAATTAAATGTCTTTGAAGATTTTTAAGGCCATGACTCATATGAGCCTTTCAGCAGCCTAAGAATAAACTAAACGAAATTTTTAGGATCATGAAAAAACTGTCACAGCCCGGGTTCGAACCGGGAACTCCAGGGATCTAGCAGCTCTAACAGATCCGGGCAGTAGCAGAGTTTTTTCATGACCCCAAAAATTGCGTTTGGTTTATTCCTAGGCTGCTGAGAACTTCATATGAGTCCTAGCCTTAACAATTTCCAAAGAGATTTAATTAATGGCCTCTAGAGACGTGAGAAGATACTCTCCTCACTTAACTGCACAAAACGAAATGTCTTCGCAGTATTCTCGAGTCAAGAGACTCATTTCAGTCAAGTCTCGCGCCAAGTACAGGCAACCCGCCGCACATGGCACGGCCCGCTAAGACCGTTGTTACGTAGGCCGTAGTGGCTAGCGAGGCCTTTAAATTTGATAACAAAAATTTAGAAGTAACCAAAAAAAAAAGAAACGACCGGAGGTAACGTGAATAATGTTTGAGTGAATTCCGAGCGGTAAGAATGCACTCAATGGTGGGTTCGCTGCTCGTTTAAGGTGTTGAAACACGCCTTGCTATTCCAACGTGGGCAGATATTCTCTGAAATGTTGAGGATGGGTAAGAGATATTTAAAAACGCGAGTAAAATGTGAGTTTACCATATATTGTTACAACCAATTTAAAAGTTTTCTATTAATTGTCGTGTACAGTGTTTCTATTATGAGAAATATCGGATAACAAAACCTAACTGTGTGTGAGGTTAAGGCAAGATGAAATTTGGTGGAACAGAAATCTATCAAAACTATGCGATATTCGGAAAGAGTAGTCTATGCAGCTCTATTTTGCCCGGTAACCGATCCAGCTTGTTCCCTAGGGTATGTAATAACGAATCCGTACCTAGGCCAGATTGCGAATACTACACTGAATCTAATACTCTAACGGTTAGAGCCACGAGTGACAACGTGCAGTCCGATCTTTTACGCGTGAAATTGAATGATTTTCTGAGCGTCTGTGCCATGATTTTGGCTGCTTATATAGTCGATTTTTGCTGATGCTCTAGGTACGGTTAGGACGTTAGGAATGCACTCGGCTAACCAGCTGGGTAGGTGGCACGGGCAATGCACTGGGTAACGTGCTGAGTCTGCAATTATGCTTCTCGTCGGCTACGTTATTCTTCTGTTTAGGAATGAAGGTCGATATACGTAACACCGTTTACTCGAAGTATCTCTTACACCCGTCTTTCGACTCAAATATCTTATGAACGGCTGTATGCGAGTAAAAGTTATTGATACATCCACTATAGGAATCGAGGGTTCTGAATTAATTGCCATCAAAATCAACGAGACTGATGTACGAGATCAGGCCGTATTGAGATAGCGCGCGAGATAATTTTATTTTCGTTCCGTCGTTGTTGTCGTCGTTGCACGTCCATTCACTTTCTCACACGACGGATGGCCACGGCTGCTTTGCCTTCATTACCTATGTGTACTCTGGATAAAGTTGGTAATTTACGAATACACAACACAATTAACTGCATTTTGTACATGAAGCTACCGTTCACACCGAATATAAGGCTGCCTTCAAAATAATACAGAATTATTAAGTCTTTAGCTCATAAGAAAAGTATAACAGCCATTCATGTGGAGCTCGCGCGCGCGGGTATGTGCTTCCACATAGTTCTTCGTATTTCAGGTAACAGTTTTAGAGATATAGGATGTCCACGTGTTACTCTCCGTAGTTTCCTGTATCTAGGTGTCGATCGTGGTACTACAGTGTGTACAGAAAAGAACAGTACGAACGACGATTTGGTATTTTGCTCACATAATAGTATTCTCTCTGTTCTTCGCACGGCCTGTGGTACGTTAATAATCCAGCACACTCTCCTCTCTTACCACACGGCGTCAACAAGCAGGGCACCATTAATGATGCTTATATGCATTCAAGATTACATTTTCTTTTAAAATTTGCATATATTTTTATGCATTTCAAAAAAAAAATGGACTTACAAATTAAATTTATAGCCTTTAAACATTTTCAACAACGCAATATTGTTAGGCCCTACCTAGTGAAACTGCTAGGGCGTAGATATATCTAATTATGGGCTACCATTTAACGCTAGACGTATCTGTTTCCTGTGAAAGTAGGGGATGTAATGCCAACGAATGAGAGCGACGTGTAGGTATACAGATTGATGATTTATTGTACGTAAGATAGGTTGACTTACAATGGTTGGTAGGTTTGAAAGGGTTGATGTTGCACTTCACTGAGTTCATTCTGTGGCAATCCGTCGCCTGTTGTTACACTCGCGATAGATTAATAGAACGCTCACCGCGATGACTTCCCTGGCCCTCGGGTGGAAAGGCTTGCTCACAAGGATCCGAAGACACGTAAAATACTACCAGCGGAGGAACAAGCAAGACTCGATGATTTAGACGGTGACTCCTAGAGGAGTTCCGTCTGTTACCAGGATTCGCGAAAGACTACCTATTGGTTCCGAATACTATACGTGCCTTAGCTCCAATTTTGGGGATAATGCACCGCAATATTGATCCCCCAAAAAACACTTACGTGTAAAAAACTACGCCAAGTACAGGAGTGCTGTGTATTCCTCTAATAAAAAGTATTGATATCAGATTATGGAGGCCAAGTACATAAGTCACTACATGTTTGCCTATTATATGATCTAGCACTGGCCCATCATTTTAATTGTATTTTCAAAATTTCTTATAACATTTCACTACTCTCTTACATTACTACTGCTTCCCGTAGTTGATTATGATTTAATGGTCATTTAATAATTAATAAAACTTTAGGTGATTCCTTATCGAGTACTACTTGGCGGGTCCGTGCCAGGAATTCCAAAGTACTTACTTTCACACCGAATATAAGGCTGCCTTCAAAATAATACAGAATTATTAAGTCTTTAGCTCATAAGAAAAGTATAACAGCCATTCATGTGGAGCTCGCGCGCGCGGGTATGTGCTTCCACATAGTTCTTCGTATTTCAGGTAACAGTTTTAGAGATATAGGATGTCCACGTGTTACTCTCCGTAGTTTCCTGTATCTAGGTGTCGATCGTGGTACTACAGTGTGTACAGAAAAGAACAGTACGAACGACGATTTGGTATTTTGCTCACATAATAGTATTCTCTCTGTTCTTCGCACGGCCTGTGGTACGTTAATAATCCAGCACACTCTCCTCTCTTACCACACGGCGTCAACAAGCAGGGCACCATTAATGATGCTTATATGCATTCAAGATTACATTTTCTTTTAAAATTTGCATATATTTTTATGCATTTCAAAAAAAAAATGGACTTACAAATTAAATTTATAGCCTTTAAACATTTTCAACAACGCAATATTGTTAGGCCCTACCTAGTGAAACTGCTAGGGCGTAGATATATCTAATTATGGGCTACCATTTAACGCTAGACGTATCTGTTTCCTGTGAAAGTAGGGGATGTAATGCCAACGAATGAGAGCGACGTGTAGGTATACAGATTGATGATTTATTGTACGTAAGATAGGTTGACTTACAATGGTTGGTAGGTTTGAAAGGGTTGATGTTGCACTTCACTGAGTTCATTCTGTGGCAATCCGTCGCCTGTTGTTACACTCGCGATAGATTAATAGAACGCTCACCGCGATGACTTCCCTGGCCCTCGGGTGGAAAGGCTTGCTCACAAGGATCCGAAGACACGTAAAATACTACCAGCGGAGGAACAAGCAAGACTCGATGATTTAGACGGTGACTCCTAGAGGAGTTCCGTCTGTTACCAGGATTCGCGAAAGACTACCTATTGGTTCCGAATACTATACGTGCCTTAGCTCCAATTTTGGGGATAATGCACCGCAATATTGATCCCCCAAAAAACACTTACGTGTAAAAAACTACGCCAAGTACAGGACAGAAAAATATATTGCGTTGTCGGAAATGTTTAATGGCATAAATTTAATTTGTAAGTCCCTTTTTCTAGAAATGCATAAAGATATATACAAATTTTTAAAGAAAATATACTCTTCAATGCATATAAGCGTCGTTAATGGTGTCCAGCTTGTTGAAGCCGTGTGGTAAACGTAAGAGAGGAGAGTGTGCTGGATTATTTACGTACCTCAGGTGGTGCGAACATCAGAGAGGATACTATAGCTTGAGCGAAGCGCCAAATTTTGTTGCACACTTTTCTGGACTTCTACGTCCGACACCTAGATACAAGAAACTACGGAGCGGAACACCTGGACACCCTGAACTTCCACATCCGACACCTAGATACAGGAAACTACGGAGCGGAATACCTGCACACCCTGGACTTCCACATCCAGTACCTAGATACAAGAAACTACGGAGTGGAACACCTGAACAGCCTGAACTCCCACGTCTGAAACCTAGATGCAGGAAACTACGGAGCGGAACACTTGGACACCCTGGACTTCCATATCCAGTACCTAGATACAAGAAACTACGGAGCGGAACACTTGGACACCCTGGACTTCCATATCCAGTACCTAGATACAAGAAACTACGGAGCGGAACACTTGGACACCCTGGACTTCCATATCCAGTACCTAGATACAAGAAACTACGGAGAGGAACACCTGAACACCCTTAACTTCCACATCCGACATCTAGATACAGAAAACTACGGAGCGGAATACCTGGACACTCTGGACTTTCACATCCAGTACCTAGATACACGAAACTACGCAGCGAAACATCTGGACACCCTGGACTTTCACATCCAATACCTGGACACAGAAAACTACTGAGCGGAACACCTGGACAAATTGTCACCTAAAATACGAGGAACTATGCCGAAGCACATATATACATACACCCATATACGCGCGTTCCACACGAATGCTATTAAAAACTGAATAATTCTATACTGTTGTGAAAGCACCCTTATACTAACTGGAAATTCGGTATGAACGGTAGCTTCACGTATAAAGTGTATTTGATTGTGTTGTGTATTCGTAAATTACTAACACCATACAGAGTACAAATAGGTAAAGAAGGTAAAGCAGTCAGCGCCATCTGTCGTGTAAAAAATGCGATGGACGTGCGAAGACGACGACGATGACCACGACGACGACGACGACGACGACGACGACGACGATGTGAATACGTCCTGATCCTGTACACGAATCGTATTGAATTTGGTGGCAATCAATTCAGAACCCTTGATTCCTAGAATGAATGTATTAATAAATTTTTCTTACATAGAGCCGTTCATAAGGTATTTGAGTCGAATCACAGGTACAAGAGATGCTTCGAGTAAAGAGTCTCGGCGGGCCGTGCCCCGTACGGCGAGTTGCCTGTACTTGACGCGAGACTCGACCGAGTCTCTTGATGTTTAGAAATTAACTAATTTGTAACAGAACTAATTGATTCAAAGATACCTTATTAATTTTAAAACATGCCGGCTGAATTTCGAAAAATTTGGTAGGTTTCAGAAAATGCTGATATAAATTAGTTACTTGGTACATGAATTATAATTTTCCGAAATAGATATGTAGTGTGATATTGTATTAAAAAATCAGTACAGTACTTCTCAATACAGTACTTTATATTTCCTTTTTCTTCTTCATTCTAATATCACGTTGCTTGGTAATTTCTTTAAAAGTGTCGATCACATGTATTTCCTTCATGGATTTTTTCAATCCTTGAAACATAGTGCAACCCATATTGATCATTCTGAGAAACTTCTTGTATCTTGTATGCTCCTATACACTATTTAACACAAACGCAAAACACTAATAAATACTCAATTACCATCACGATACAAAAATCTGAATGTCACTATTATAATCTTTAGTATTCAAAACGAAAACTTAGAAGAACACAATATGTAACATCACCGCTGAAAAAGAACAATTTTTACATCTAATGGCAAATGCTGTAAGTAACAAACGGGCTTAAAAAGTGCCAAAATATTGCCGCGCATCATGTTTTTGTTCTAGAAAGAATTGTTGTTACAATTATAACAAAATATGGAATAGGAATGTAACACTTAGAATTGAATTATCGTTGCATATCGCCTTTGCACTATTTTCTACATATTAGTGTCGTAGTCTATGAGTAAATCAAACTTGTAACATAGGCCTGCAGTGAGCCATGCAAAATGTCTTACTGGTACGTCTAGAAAGCCACTACTCGTGAGCATTAGGATAGCTCCTTCGAAGTTCTAAAAATTGTTAGACAAGTGGGAAATTTTTCCACGAGATATTTACATATCTTGAGAACATATTTAACCTCTTAGGCACTATGCGCCACTATAGTGGCTTTCGCGGATGCGAAAAAATTATAATTTAATCATCAAACACTTCATTCCAATGTACTCGTGTAAAGAACAGCATTATCCGTCACACATTGCAGTGCCGTATCATTTACACGTATTTCGCGTTGAACTCTGCTGAACAGAGAAACAGCCCCGCGCAAAATTCAACCGTGTCTAAGAGGTTAAATAAATAAAAAATTAAATTTTTTTTTTTTCTCAAAACATTTGCATAGGCTCACCTTAAATAATTCAAAACCCTTAAAGACGCAACATCAGAAAGATAAATCATATCCATTTTTGTTTCATATCGTTAGCAATTGAATAAATACAATTTTCAATGAATCCGTCAAAGGAATTGTATCGATTCTAATAACGTTTAGTAATGGAATATCAAACCTTGTCGAATAATCTGTTCTCCAGGCAGGAACGTGACAGGAAACATAGCATCAAAAATGTCGCATCGTTCAGTTTCATCGAGGTGAGCAAATAAAACATTCTTCACAATTGCCTTGCTCAACGCAGCCATAGTCTTGTAATTCTTGGGTACAACTTTCTTGACATAACTTGTTGCATCCTCTTCTGATACGGGCTCTGCGGATATTCCTCCACGACGTCTGGGTATTTGTGGTCCTTGCTGACCCGCAGGAATATCTTCTGTGTCCTCGGGACTCGTTGCGTTCTGTTGCTTAGCATCGTGTGCTTGTTCCTTTAACAAACGTAAAAATAAACTAATTTTATAACACTCATCGCACAAATTACTTTCCATACAATTTGCAAAATAGCTTAAATCTCAACAGGTTGAAAGACGACAGTTGTAAGTTCCCCTCTTCATTATTCAGTTTACAAATGGATAACAAAATTTTCGCATATACATATAAAAATTGTTTACTCTGTTAAAATTATATAAAAATAAACTTTAAAGATGCATGTCGAATTATGTTAAATTGTGAAGATATATTTCTTCCTAAATTACATTACGCACAAAAAATGTAATATATAGTTTGTTTAATTATTAAAGATACATTACAAACAATTTTTGAATGTAAAATAAGAAAAGATTTCTATAAAACTAATTTTAAAAAAAAACTAAGGAATAAAAATAGATTTACATGAGGAAGAACGAATTAACATACACGTATTGATTTACAGTATTGAACACACTATATAAAAACCATAAGACCATTCTACGATACCATTGATGCATATAGTATATGTAGATATACATATACAGGGTGTCTCACCGAAAGTGCACACCTCGATTATCACCGTACAAATGAAGATACGGGAAAAAGGTTCAGATAAAAGTTGCATGGTTTCAAGGAGGTCGATTTTTTATCCAAATGATCTTTTTTATATTCATTTCATTTCGAGATACAGAACGTTACTTGTTTTTTAAATAGAACATCATTTTTGATCGGTATAAGAAAATGTAGCTCATTTTCTTCTGAACATTTTAAGACCTTGCAGACTAAAATCCACCCAACCATTTCCAAGTTATGGAGAAGTGATTTTATTAAACAATCTTCGGTTGCGAAATTCAGCGCGCAAACCCTGAATGCTCTAGCGGCGCTGCAACCGAAGATTGTTCAATAAATTCGTTTCTCAATAACTTGGAAATGGATGAATGTATTTTAGTCTGTGGTCTTAAAATGTTAATAAAAAATGTGCTACATTTTCTTATACCAACAGAAAATGATGTTCCTATTAAAAAATATATAACGTTCTGTATCGCCAAATGAAATAAATATTTAAAAAATCATTTGGATGAAAAATCAAACCCGTTGAAACCATACAACTTTTGTCTGAAAGTTTTCCCGTATCTTCATTAGTAACGGAAATAATCGAGGTGTGGACTTTCGGTGAAACAACCTATATATTATAAGCTACACAATTGTATTGTTTGCAATAACGATGGCTACGCTCACTGCAAAAGTATGAACGTAAGTAATGATAATATCAAGAAACTATAATTACTTGGCTCAAAGCAACCATTTAAGAATGCTAGACAGATGATCACGTACACTAAATGTAAATAATCTGTTTTACTTAACTCTTTAAACATCTACTACGTAATAATAATTATGCGTCATTTTTGCTAATATATGTTAAATATGCAAAAGGCATATGAATCCAATGAAGCATGTGTAGCTAATAAACTTGTAATTAAATTCTTGTACCTCGTCCATGTTCCTAATCTTCCAATCCAGAAATTCGGAGATTCGTTGACACGAGCGTCACTTTCTCAGGAATATTGAACCACAGTTACACAAAGTATAGTTTCTATAGCCCTAGAAAATGTATATTCTGCGCGGACACGATACCACGACAAAAACTTTCCGGTCAGCTATGTCCCTCGAGCAATAATTGCGTTAGAACCACCGTAAATCCAATTAATCGGATGATGGCTGGCGGCCGTTCGTTGTCGAGAAAGTAGTCAATAGCATTAATATTCCTTAATGTCAAGGTTTGAAACTGTTAACATTTTGTAACAAGTAGAATTGTTAGATATACCGTTAATAAATTGGTCTTATGTGTCCAGAATTATATTGGTGCGTTCAGAATTGGGCGTTTCGTGTAACTCCGATTGGCTAAAGTTGTTCTAGTTATATTCCGAGTATATTCTATATTTAGACGGCTAGCTCCCAAACTATCCCATCATCTTCCCTCACATCGGTATACATTTACCCAATTATCTAACTAGTCTACCTAACTGCCTAAGACTCTTCCTGAGCATTGTACACTTTCTCCTTTCGGTACCTGGCTTGAATTTGAAACCTGACACTCTTCGCGATACACATCAAACAGTTATAGCATTCAATGTGTACTTATAGATAGTATAAAATCTTTGTGCGAAAAAATCACAGCGATATCATCTCATTGAGTAAAAATAGCAGTTTTGAACTCCTGCTGACTTAGCATCGTTATGTAGAGTCCAAGTAAAGTGCAATAAAGTTCAGTGAAACGCCCGCATATAGACGTAATTTTATTGTGTACGTGGCAAAAAACAACTCAATTATAGTTTCATCGAGTTTCTTGACTCGACTAAAAATAATATAACAGTTATATCTACAGTATTCATAGCGAAAAAATTGCAGCATTATTGGCAATGTTGAAGATTCAATTCTTTACGAAAGAGACCGTTACTCCCTTGTTAAATTGATTCTACATGTCATTAAAACGATTATACCAAACTCGCTATTCCTTAATAGATGTGGCAGATATTTCATATTTGGAATATGTGATATCTGTAATTTTATTTCTCATATAAGGAAAATATATTAAACAATACAGACCTACTTATGAGAGTACAAAGCCTCTATCAAATTGTGGTTTGCCAATGATTCTGTAGTGGACCATGGATTTTTGATTGGAAATAATTATTATATGATATTATATTGTATTTCATTATATTTGTTATTACTTTGTTATATTTGTTCTTTACAAGTACTATAATACAATACTATCTGTCGAATGTATACAGACGGAACAATTCATAGTTTCGTTGAATGCAAGGTACTGAACGCTTGCCTATGACGGAACGACAGTTACTAATAATAGACCTCATTGAGTCACTCATGTTAACTATCTTAGGGCGTTCACTGTGACTACACACTTAAAACGTTTGAGTTAAAATTAATTCGACGATTTGTGGCAAAGTAAATACAAATTCTAGAAATTTTATAATATATTTAAAAAAAAATATTTACAAGTACCCAAGATATCTCTCCTCAATTTTGATGACACTTAATAGGTAAATAAAGTGCTTTGAGGCATGAAATGTGCAAAAAAATTAGCAGCCTATATTCTCTTAAGATCACTAGCAGCTGTTAGCGCGCTTTTAACGAAAAAGCCTATTCAGAACCGCTTTTAAGCATTTAAAAGTGCGCTATTAGGCGCCATCTTGGGACTAACAGCAACTTGTTCGGAAATGTGGGTAAGGGCATGTTTAAAGTGAAAGGTCACTCAAATATCATGGATGAGATGGAGGCTATTGATGCATAGGATATATAATTAATCATCATTAATGTCATATTTCACTTGTAGCACTTTTTACAATTCAAAATGTCAAAAATCATGTATCAATTGCGACAACAGTGTATTGCGCTGATTCATTATTTTACGTTGGTACCAATGCGACGTGGGAAGAAAGCTTGTTCGAACTGCTCTATCGCGTATCATTATCTGCATCGAACTTTCTCTCTCACTCTGTTCCAACCATGCTCTGTCCTATGGAAAGACACTTTCTGAACAGTGCCCAGCGATTTAGTATCCGTAGGTGAACGTTACGACGCTTGAATGTAACGTTCAGATACATTGAGAGGTTAGAGACCGTGGGTTAGACAGACGCAATCACTGCTAACCAACAAAATGCCAAGAACATAAAACGGTGGAAAGGCCGATTAATATCGGACGCGATGTGTAAAAAGCGATTAGCTCAAAGCGAGAATTATAAAAATCTAAATGAAACGAAAAGGGCCACAAGTGAAATCGATGCAAACTCGAAATTCGAGTCACAATAGGATAAACAAACTTTTTAAAAAAAAAATTCAACCGACTTCAAAAAACACAAAAAGTCACTACACTAAAAAGCGAAAAATAACAAAATACATCTTCAATCCAAAAGACACACACAACAATACACGTAATACTTTTTATTTATTTTTATCTTATTTCGTTTAGTATACACTATTATAATTACTTATTAATTAATCTATCTGCATTTATGATGTATGTATACAAAATAACGTTACAATTTTTGTCCAAACCTATTACCTATAATTAAAATAAAATATTATTATTGGTTTGAAGTCGGTGCCAAGCCAAATAGGTAGTAAGCAAATAGACTAATTGTAAGTCTGCTCCCGCCACATACCCACGCGAGCAGGCAGGCGTTGTCGACGTCAAGGTAGTAGGTAGATAGACTAAGTCCGCTCCCGCCACATTGCCACATGAGCAACCAGATGTTGTTGACGGTCGTCTCGAATGATTGAATTTTTGATGCCTTATTACGTAGTTGATAGATTTCTATAATTTGACTGTTGCACATAACTTTTTATAGGTAGATCTTTAATAAAAACAAAATATTTAGGTATATCATTAGATTTTTATTCCGATATTAATTTAAGCTGTTTATATCGTTGTTTTATTTTGTTTCGGGCTTGGCACCGACTACAAACCAATAATAATATTTTATTTTAATTATAGGTAATAGGTTTGGACAAGAATAATTCTTGTTGCAAAAAAGAATGTTTCAAGAAAATCAACGAGGAATACATACGAAAGCTTTACATCAAATTCTGGGAATCAGGTGATTGGTCACATCAAAGTGCTTTGTTGAGTTGTATGCTGCGAGAAAAGTCTAATGGCAGCGGCAATCTGACCCTATGGAAATATTATTTTCCATGCCAATATGGATATAATGAAGAAATCGTCGTTTGTCGTGATTTTTTATGCAAAGTACTAGACATTAAAAGAGGAAAATTTATAACAATTCAAAATAAAATGAAAAATGATGAAAGTCTCAGCGATAAGAGAGGAGGCAAAACACATTTTCAAAAACTCACCGATGATACAAAAAAACTAATACATGAACACTGTGAGAGTTTAGCGCACACTTAGTCTCACTACCGACGTGAACAAACATCGCTAAACTACTTTAAAGATTCTAGTTTGAATTTGTCGAAATTGTTTAAATTGTTTATACAG